GGAGCAAAGTTCATCATCATCAGCCCGGAGCGCAGGAGATAAAAATGCATCCAAACCGCGGATCTGCAAATGGATCCAAACCGCTTCGCTGAAAAAAATCCTGTGACTGGAGCTCAGATTACATAGACAGCTGAATGAGTTACCCTCTCCTCCCCCTTCACTCTGTATTGCACCATATGGAGTTCCAGTTAAAACGCTTGTCCTAAACCTTAACCCAACCCCCTAAAACCAGCCCCAATCAGAGTGCAGGGGCAGGAGTATGTGAAGCGCAGCATGCGGAGGTGAGGGGTGCATCACACACACAACGCATGGGTCAGGGGCGAGTTACTTGCTTAGTGTACAGCAGAGAGTGAAGGAATCGGGGTGATCGGCGGCTCGGTATTTTTGAGGGGGTTGTAGCCGGTGACGTACAAAACAGGCCCGCAGAAGGGTAAAATAAGCTTTATTGCCACACAAACAATAAGACAAAACAAAAATACATCTTCAGTGTGCATAAGTATTCACCCCCCAAAAGTCAATACTTTGTAGAGCCTCCAGTCCCTGCAATTACAGCTGTTTCTTGGGGTCTGTCCTCTGCCCCGGGGGGGTCTGTCCTCTGCCCCGGGGGGGTCTGTCCTCTGCCCCGGGGGGGTCTGTCCTCTGCCCCGGGGGGGTAAGACGGAATAATTGGATCGGATTTTATTCGGCTCCTCCCCCGAGCTCTGCATTACATTGATGATCCAGATCAATAATAAGGATTGCCGGGATCGGTGAAGCCCGTTCTCAGACCACGGTGCGGAGGATGGGTTCTGCGGGTCTCAGGACAGCGTTGCCGGAAGGTTCCGGAGGTGCAGGACGGGTAAGCAGGACAGAGCGATGAACGCCGAGAACGATACAGAGACCCCGAGAGAGTCAACCAGCAGCCCGGACACGGCACTGAAGGAGACCTTCCCCAGGACCTCCAGGGAGGACAGGAGGCTGTAGTGACTGGCCTGCGGAGGGATCAGAGGAGGATTTCAGTATGAAGAATGGAGTACATGTATAGGGCAGGGACGCATGCACACGCACACGCTCTGCAGCCTTACCTGGAGGCTCGGCCTGGCCTGGCGGGTGCAGTGCATCATGAGAGTGAAGGTCGCAGTGGTGAGGACTCCGGCCAGGAAATGCTGCAGCACCACACTGAGCAGAAGACACACTGAGGAGGAAACACATATTACTGAGGAGATGACGAGGGCAAGGGACGGATTCCCGGGGCAGGGGACGGATTCCCGGGGCAGGGGACGGATTCCCGGGGCAGGGGACGGATTCCCGGGGCAAGGGACAGACCCCCCCGGGGCAAGGGACGGATTCCCGGGGCAGGGGACGGATTCCCGGGGCAGGGGACGGATTCCCGGGGCAGGGGACGGATTCCCGGGGCAGGGGACGGATTCCCGGGGCAGGGGACGGATTCCCGGGGCAGGGGACGGATTTGGGACGGACCCCCCGGGGCAAGGGACGGACCCCCCGGGGCAAGGGACGGACTCCCCGGGGCAGGAATAGCACCGCTGGGGGGTGAACCCTTCATGAGGCCCAGTAACCCTTCGCTGCCCAGTGCTCGGCATTGAACACGGGACGCCTCACATGACCTCTCGGGATGGTCTGGCCCCTCCCCCCTCAGAGCAGAACTGAAAGACTGAAGCCCGGGAGACGTTCCTACATTCAGGCTCTCAGACCGGAGGGAGCAGCGTACGATCCCTTCCTCCATATTGTATCCGAGCCGCACAGAAGAAGTGACCTCAGCTCCACCGCAACCCAGGGGTGAAACTTCTACCCATCCCCCCCATTACAGAGTCACCCCACAAGGGCCCCTCACCTTTCACAAGGGTCGTGTCTCTCCCGAGAGCGGAGAGGAGAAGGGTCTGCAGGACGAGGCAGGAGAGCCGCACACTCAGGACAGTCCTCAGCAGGGAGTGGATGGACCTGGAGGGGGGGGGGGCAGAAAACACTGAAATGACGTTCTATTATAGACTGAGCAGAGAGTGACAACTCCACAAGAAAGAGAGCAGCGTGTGTGTCACCGCATTCAATGACCCCGAGGACTCTGAGCCACATATTCAGCTTACAGGCCCGGGAGAGACAGCCAAAGGCCGAGCGCACACTCCATGTTACTGTCACCGGCACCTGGAGGATCATCACGTGGCATGCCCGGGGACTCGGTCTGCCGGAGGACCCTCCATCGGGCCCCTGCTCCCCCGCCTTGCCCAAGTTACCAAAATGTGGCCTGCCCCTCCGTGGACTACAATCTCAGGTTCAGTTTACTCATTTGTATTGAGGTTGTAGTCCATCCCGGGGAGGAGCTTGGAGAGGTGACAACACACAGGGACCATGTTGTCCATCCCCGGGGGGGAGGAGCTTGCAGAGGTAACAACACACACAGGGACCATGTAGTCCATCCGGTGGGGGGGAGGAGCTTGGAGAGGTGACAACACACACAGGGACCATGTAGTCCATCCGGTGGGGGGGAGGAGCTTG